CTGTTCCGGGGAAACCCCGGGGTTTTCCTTCCCGGTTTTTTGGGGATGGGGGTTAAAGGTTTTAAGGATTCGGCCATCCCGGATTTGGGTTCCCCCCCCCCCCCCCCCCCCGACACCCCATATGTTACATCGCGGAACCCCCTGGCCCCCGTCCTCCCCGCCGACAACTCAGTTTACTTTGCACGCATGTCATGTTATTGCTTCAGGGGCCGGAGGGATAGAAGAGGGGCACCCGTCGTCGACGGCTGCGGCCCCACCAGCAACAGCAGCAGGACCAAGCGTCAACAGAGAAACACGCGTTTAGGAGGGGATAGAAGGCGACAGCCAAGAGGAAACACACCATCGATTTGCTGTGACTTTTCCTGTTTTTGTGTCTCGTGTAAAGTTTCGCGCACCATCGATTGCGTTGGCTTCCTGGACGATACGTCTGTGTCTCGTGTCCCGTAGAGATTTGGCATGAACGGTACAGATGTAGTCTGGAATTGAACTCTCAACGGCATGTCTCCTTGGGGTTGTTGGGGAGGACTAAGCGTTCCATGTTTCTCTACGGGTTGCGCACTCGCACACGTACCGTAAACTCGATGAGAAGAAACGGCTATTTGTTCGTTGTTACAGCGATTTGCTCTACGATATCCTTAGATATGCTTGTTCCCGATGGGTTTCATACCGGAGGGGCGGGTGAGGATCGCTCTCGAAAGCATCACGTTGCGGAGGATGGGTTTGGTACATGCTAAATGACACCTTTCTGAGAGTGTTTTGCCCCCCGCCCCCCCCCCCCCCCCCCCGTTCATGGCGAACGCTGGGTACCGCTGTTTTTCGGAACGTGCAAAGGGGGCAATGTCTGAGGTGAGCGTCGCTTTCGACGGCGTGCACAAGTCTAAAAGAAGAGCGCCCTCGCTCACTCGGATGCCCTGGCGGGTATGGTCACCATGGGCGGAGTTTTCGGCGTGTTGTGCGTGTCCAAATACTTGGGTTTCACGATTGTTTGTTAATGTCGTTGACTTGGCCACAACCTCCTTGTCGACTGACATTCTTTTCACCTCCTCGCCCCAGCGCGACTTTTTTATTTGTAGCTTGCAGTCTAGCCCTTCTGAAGAGTTTCTTGTTCAGGAGGTGACGGGCAGGCTTCGACTGGGGTCGAACAGCGACATGACCGGAACTTTATCTTTCCTCCCCGGGTGCGGGATGATAGAATAGTGTTGCTCGATGGATAAAGAGCAGCCTCTCTGTGCATAGTACATAACAGATTTGTCGGTGTACGCCTGCCGTTCGCTTCTCCCCTTGGATTTAGATACGCTTTGCCGTTGTGGGCAGTTGTCATGCTGCATGATTTGTGTGTCCCATTCGTCTTGTTTTTTCGATTCGAATTTGCAAGGCAGGAAGAGCCCTGGTTGGTTGGGCGCGTTCGTTCATGTATCTGCAACTTGCACCTGCACCTGACATCCAGACATATGTATCTGTATCCCTCCCTCTCTCTCTCTCTCTCTAGTGCCCTCGTACTTTCGAGATACCAACTATGTTGGCGATAAGGGTGGCCGGCACCCTGTTCTCTTTCTTTTCTCCGGAGGAGCTGTTATCCCTTTCAATCCCTTTCATGGTCTCATGGTTGAGAAAGCGCGACGACCCCGATCCACTCTCTTCAATTAATTGTGTATCAATTGTAGCTAAAAATAACGACGCAGCCTGCTGACATCCTAAGGGGAGCGCGGCAACGTTGGGTGTAGGTACACCTCGTATTGCAACACTCGTACATCCCACAGTCTGCTGGCCCCAGGATGCCCCTGTTCTTTCCCTAGCGCCAACACGAGGAAGGAATCTTTGTGCATTTTGCGCATGCTGCATGCCATGCCGCGTCATGTCATGACAACATGACAGGGACACCCATGGGGGGGGGCATGGCTCCATTGATCCCTGCACGGTGCCCCGCCTGCATACGTATGCCATGCCGCCTCGTCGCACTGCGCAGTAGTATCCTGCCAAACCTTTACAGCAGCCAAAGGAAGCTTCACCCCTCGCAGACCAGCAACAACCGACAGGTAAGCACGTCGAGAGCGTTTCCTTGCGTGTGTTGTGCAGGACCGCAGTATCTTGCTCTGCTTGTGAATCCAGCTCTCTACAAGAACACCGCCACGCTCTCTGCTGGCTGTACGAAGCATGGTCTGCTGTGTGCGCGGGGCAATTGACCTACTGCCGTGGCCGTGTGAGCAGCGGGGGGTGTCTGGGGGCTCTGCCGTACTGCCCTGTTGCCACCTACGCCGTGTTTTGCTTGGGTGCCGCGAGTGTGCTAGTCGCTGCGGGCGTAGTCGTGGTTGATCGCGCCGAACTGACGGGTAAAGGAGTAAAGGATCATGAGCATGTGTGTGACGTAGGGTAGAAATGTGTTGTTCTCAGAAATCCGCTCGGTAGTACGTCGCCCAAAGCACCAATGCCCTCGGAGCCCTGCCTGCCTGCGCGTGACAAGCACCCCACCCCCCAAGCATAAACTCAGGCCGATCGCGTGATGCGCCCGCGTACTCGAGGCGTGCTTCTTGTCCTCGCCGTAACGCTGTGATCCTGCGACGCACGGCCGAGGTGCTCGCTGGCTTTATCTCAAATCAAAGGCGAACATCGACATCCAGAGTACAGCAGCATTATAAAAAAAGGTCCATACAGCCATTTATAGTGGTCCTGGTACAACGGCGGTACGGTAGGTGCCAGCCCCTTGAATCGGTATTGTAGCGGGCAACCGGCATTCTTCAGAGTATGAAAACAGCTTTGAATATTCCATCTGTGCCAGACTATTTCACCGGCAACATACCGGGCGACCGGCATTATCGACCGGCATTATTCCGGGACCACTCTATGGGCAGTGTATACAGCAGTAGTGCCGGTCGAATAGTGCCGGGTACCGGAATAGTGCCGGTGTTTTCGGCTCGCACGTACTGAAATACCAAGTCGTTCTGTGCTATGAATAGTGCCGGTGTTCGGCATGGTGCCGGTAAATTCTCTGGACACATACCGGCACCATACAGGGCCCACTACTGCTGTGCTTGTGCTGTATCTGCGCGCAGAGATGGCACTCCAGGGTGCGTGTGTGGTTGCGGAGTTGAAACTCGATGGCAGCGGCCGGGGTTTAACAACTCCCTACAGAGGTGGAAGGGTTCCTACGTACATAGCGCGACCGTCGCTGATATGGATACAAATGGATACCGAGGATGGCAGGCATACTAGATGGGGGGTACCGTTTGTTTGCCTGAAAAAGGTACATACACCTACAGCACACATACCTACAGCAGTGGCCTCAGGTATCACACCCCCTTGGGAACGATTTTCAAAGCTCGATTACTCCACAGCACAGAAGGGGTCGCGGTTCCGAGAGTGTTGGGCGTTGGAACGAGCTTTCCGTTAACGTATATCGTTTGATTTCTATTGTAGACCCAACTCAATCACCTATTAATAGATGGTGTAAGCGGAAGCTCGTGCAGATCATCCGGACGCTTGATGATGGTGTAAGTCGGAAGCGCTCGTGCAGACCATCCGGACGCTTGAGGGGACTGCCATCGAGGCTTTCGAGGGGCGTCGTCAGCGACGGCTCCGGACCGCGAGGCACCCAGCTCCAGCACCAGCTGCACACGGGAGGTTGACGTGAACACCGTGGCGTGGCCTGGCTGTCACCACCTTGTTATGCCCCTCCCTGTCCCGTCTTTTGACGACTTCACCTTGATTTCTACATCCTCTTCGTCGTGGAGTAACTGACCTTTGAGAAACGAACCGGGGGTGTGGTATCTTACGCCACCTTTGGCATGTTGTCACAGTACAGCAGTACAGTAGCAGTAGATCATCGGGGGGAAATCCGGGGGGGAGAAAGAAGACACTCCGCTCTGCCGATGACATGTGTCACCCGCGCACAGCGGTTTTTTCATCAGTACCGGCCAGCAGCAGGGACATCGTGTTTGTTGAGGATGTTCAGTTTCCAAGTACTGCTGTATCAGCCGGGGAGAGCTACATGTTGTTGTTGTTGTTGTTGTTGTCTTCCCATTAAAAACCGTTCCGTTCTCTCTGCCCAGTACCTTCTTCTGTCCGCTATAGTCTAACACTTGACGGGGTCGATTCCCGTGGTCACAGGCTAACTTACCCAAAAAAGGTATACGAAAATAAAATTGACCTACATAGAACATGGTTTAATAATAATGCGTTTGTAGGTTACTCGAGTTATTCTTGCGTACGAGTCGTCGTCTGGATTGTGGTCCTGGATAATCGGCAGACCGTTGTCGAGCTGCCGCCTATCCCGCATGAAGATTGATTGCTTCGTCGGAGATGAGAGCTGACGGCGTGGCCCTGCATCCGAAACTACTGAGGGGGGGGTCTGTGTAGTGCCGGTTGAATAGTGCCAATGCCCGGTTTGTGCCGGTGTTTTCGGCGGGCACAAACTGAATTTCCAAGGCATTGTGAGTGCTTTGAATAGTGCCGGTCCGGTATTGTGCCGGCGAATGTTCTGCGGGTACATTCGGGCACTAACCAGGGACTCCGTCTGTATTCGACGATGGACCACCAATAGTGTACAGCAGCTTGGGCTACCCCTGGGTTAGCCGAAGCTGCAGGTTTGGCCTTTGGCGAGGAGCTTGACCTACCCGAGACCCTCTCTGTCGCATGGCAATCGCGCAACGGGGTGTGATCACTCCCACGACTGCGGTACTGTGCGCGGTACAGACGGTCATCACAAATGCCTTCCCTTCACAGCAGTAGCCTGAGACCTGCTCTGTTGCATGGCAATCGAGCAGTGGGGGTGACATCACTCGAACGGCTGCGATACTCTGTACAGACGGTCATCACTCGATCGTCCTCGTTTGATGTTATGTGCCACATTTGTCAACAACGGGATTTTTTCTGGGCCCTTTTCGTGTCTTTCTCTGTAATTTGTCGTATTCTCGTGCTCTCTCGATACTTTTTTTTGTTTTTCCATCTCTTTGGGGGCGTTGCCTTGCATCTTGCAACACCACTCATACTCTGCTTCCCACTCAAAAACCTTGCTACGGCTGTCGCCCCGCAGTGCCCCCCTACCCCTACCCTCGGTGACCCCCCTACCCCCACCCCTAACCCTTACGGCGTGCGTTCAAAACCCCTGCCGATGCCGCTTTTGGGGGGCGTCCAACGGCCAACAACAACAACAACAACAGCAGCAGCAGCAGCAGCCATGGCTTCCAACCCCCAAGACCCCGACAGGGTGGACCAGGCGTCCACGCCCACCCTGTCCGCCTTCGTGATGAAGAGCACGGGGGACCAGGAGCTGGCCATCCTCATGCACTCCATCGCCCTCTGCTGCAAGTCCATCACTCGCGCCGTGCGCAAGGCTGGTGAGTCATGCAACGGTAGGGATAGCACATTATGGCCCAGAACCTTCGGTTATTCAGATGAATAACCAACCAATAATCTTCGAATATGGTGAGGGTTTGAGAACAGCAGTAGCCTTCCTTCACAGGGTGTTCTTTCTATTTTTTTTGTAAACATGTTGGGTTATAATAAAGCTAGCTAGCGATCGGGGAAGTTGGGTTGGGGTTAGGGAATAGGGTCTGCGTACCCCCTCCCTGTTGTACTGCATATTTCTTGCTTTTTTTCTCGCGAAGGTGGTCGGTATCGATCTCGGGGTGTTTTTCTATTTTAGTAAAAAACATGTTGGAGAGAAAGCGTAGGGTCGGAGAAGTTGGGCGTGGGTTAGGGTTAGGGATATTGTAGGGTCTGCGTACCCCCCTCTCCCTGGGTTATGTTTCGTCGTAAAACCTTATTTCTCGCCGAAGGCGGTCAGTGGTAGCCTTCGCAGGTTTTTTCTATTAAGTAGGCATGTTGGATAACGTACGCGGTCGGAGAAGTTGGGTTAGGGTTAACGATTTTCTTCCAGAGTGCTTCTCGTTTGTCGGCCGGGGGTGTTCCCGCGTTACCACCGTCTTGGGGGATGCCCGCGGTGTTGAGAAGTCAAGAAAGCAACTCCACGAAAGGAGACGAGTGTTGCGCAGGGTTAAGGACGGAGGAGAAGGGATAACGATCAGGTTTTGTTTGGGAATGTGCCAGGGGACTGGAGCAGTTGCAAGATCTGCATCTCACCCTCCTGGCTGTGGAGCAAGTGTGAGGCTGGTGATCGGGCGTGGGGGCGTGCTCTTATATTTGCATGCCTTAGACCAGTAACCATCCTCTCGAGAGGACCGAGCATTGTTCCCACGGGACCGATCACCGATGTCTTCCTACTCGGGGCTCAAGAGCGTTTTCTCTACCATATCGATATCACTTCCCGCCTTTTCAACCCACTTCCTATGCCCCAGTATGCCATGCCTAGGGGGAGGGGGCGACCACTGGTACGATTAGTTTTACGGTAGCCAACCTGTTGGGTGAAAACCACGTCACCGCCTTCCCGGGGCTCGGAAACAGTAGTAATGCGAGCGTCCGCAAGGACCTAGGACTATCCGCACTTCCATGCAATGAACAGACCCCCCCCCCCCCCTCGGATCCTATCGACCCACACATATCGACTCATTCGTACCGTTCAGTGGTGAGAACACGCGTCGGTACTCCCCCCGTTCCTCTAGCACCGCGATGGAGCAGCGCGCTCCCTCGTACAACTGCTGCTGCTGTTGGGCGGCCCTCTCGGGCCCCACGGCTCGGTGATTG